CATCTTACCATGTTTATCAGGGAATGGCGCCACCTCTGAAGGAGGCAGCTCCATTCCTTGAGTCTCCTATTGACACATTCGTGCCTGGTCCTTGCAAGAGACTTCCTGGTAGTCTGCTGTTGATTGTCAAGTTGTCGCCATGGGCAGTCAAAGAACTGAGATACCCCCTGTACCCTTTGTTCAGCCACAGCTCTCTCATCCCCTCAAACATGTGGACAAAGATGACAAAGAAATGCAATATCAACCCATTCACCACAAGGGAAGGGACCATTATCCACACAAATCCATCCAGTCTGAATACAAACACCAATTTCATACCTCAGTCCAGGACCATTAACTTCTTGGTAATACCAACCAGTAGAGAAAGGACCTGTTCTCCCGATGCGAAAGTCATGTCCATCAACAGTCACCAGACACCGACTGCCATTGTCTTCATCGTCGTGTCTCCCATCTGATCTGGAGGAGTGGTGTTGGATTGCAACATGTACATGGTGAGGGCTCTCTGTTGATGAAGACGGCGATTGATAAAAGTGAAGAAGAAAGCTTGCTCATGGCTCACAAAGTCCAAGCTCGCGATCTTTCAATGAACACCCACACCCAGTGCCGAATCGTCTTTTCATCCTTCATAAAGATCATGGCCAATACAGCTGTGACAGTGTATGTCCTGAGGAACATGAGTGTGGCCAGGAAGTAGGATACCCAGCGAATGTCACTCAGAGGATCTTCATCGTCCAGCATGTTCCACAGTTCTGCCGCAAGATGAGGAGCCACACCAAAACAGCCACGAAATGTCCGCTGATAGCGATAGGCCTCATGGTTGACTGCTCTCGCTGTAAGCCCTTGGTAGATGGAAGCAGTGCGTATGACAGTATCAGCTGTTATCTGCATGTTGTTGTAGAAGAGGGAAAGTCAATTTTGTGAGAATTTCGAAACTCGAAGATGACAGAAAACTCGAAGATAATAGATCCAGTCTAGTCATGTCCGGCTTACCTGTAGCGCTCTGTACAATTCGGTAGGCGGTGTCGACTGGGTGACCATTGTCAACCTTGTAAGACCAAATTGAGATGCCGGTACCAGCAGAAGAAAAAAAAGATGCTGTCATGGTGGAAGATGCTTGGAACTGAAAAGTGTCGATTTTCAGCTTGACAAGATTGCTCCTTTCCGAATCAGACCAATCCTGCATGGCTTAAGAGAGGAGCACTAGGCCGTTTGTGTGTTTATGTGCTTCTCATTTGGCGCAATAATTCAAATATGTTTGTTTTTCCTTGGCCAGCTTTCGTTCCAAATGCTAGGGGCTTGCCAATGGCAGAGGGACCTTGCTCGAGAAGACGAAAATCGACCCATTACAGCCAGAACGTCCAGGCCACCACCGATATGCAAGTTATGGTCAAAGATGAAAGTGTCTAGCTAATAGGGGCTGCTGTAGTATACTTCTAAGATGTAGATTCAACACCAGCAATGGCTATTTCCAGGGCTGAAGAGTGTACAACGCCCTGGTAAAAAGCGTTCCAGGACGTCCTGATGGCCTGGATCGCCAATTTCAGGAGGCGATATAGAAACCTGGAAGACCACCTTCCTAGCCAAAGAAGGCTCAGGTGCACTGTCTATTACTAGTAAAGAAGGGACCGCCCAAGTTGAACAGGCTAGGTCTTTGTAGTGTTCTATATCACTGGCTGGAAAGGGCGATATGTGTGTGGGGCGATTTGTGATGGGTGTTACACACCCATGACACGCCCTTAGAAATTGGAACCAAATGGAGCCTAGAAATGTGAGCACCAATTGATCCAAATTTGGGACAGAGCGTTGGAAAAGCGCTGGCCGCCCCTTTGCACATGGGCTGAGAGGAAGAAGAAAATCGCGAACCAGTATGAACCAGTATGACCGATAAGCCTTCCGGTGAACCACATGCGTCTGAAATTTTATTCCCAGCAACTCACCTGGCAAGATCGATCTTGCCGGTATTATTGACAAGCGAACTCCACAAAACTGCACAGGTGTGGCTTTCCAGCACAATCAGTAGTGACCTAGCTACCAGTCAACCACCAAGATGGCGATCTCCTCAAAATGGCGCTCTTCCTATCTTCTCACAAATCGAAAACACCAGCCAAAGCAACAGCAATTGGCCAAGCAGGAAACAGCAAGCAGAGCGGAGATCGACCATGTCATCGAGAAAGAGTCTGGCAAAGAAAGGGGAACCTGTGAAGCACATCTTCAAGCAAGATGGAAGCGACTTCAAGTTCCTTCTTCGCTTGTTCCAGACTGGGGCCATTACTGATGAATTACCTGCTGCTGTGAGAGCCATGCATGAGCGCTTTCAGAAGTACAACACAAACCAGTTTCGCTCTCAGTTCAACAAAGCAAGAGGAATGGCTGCTGGTGTTGCTCTCAGAGGACCACAACCACCACAAGATGATGATGGACCACTACCCATTCTTCCCAGCTTTGTTCCTCGCAACCCTGCCGTGGCAGCCAGGCCTCCTGCAGTTGCGCAGCTTCCCTCCATGGCTGACAATGATGATGAGGAAGCTGATGCTGATGGGGAGGATGGCACCCACTTGGAACCAAAGAGGATGGTCCAAGGAATGGGAGAACGAGCATGGCATTCGCCATGTCACTATCATTGTCTGGCTGAGCAGTGGCGTGACCGAAGCAGACATCGAAACCATGGTCTCTGCGAATGGCAAGAAGCTAACAATCAGTGAAGTGGCACCAAGACCTCTTGTGATATTGGGGAGTTCTATGCCCATGCTGTGGCCAACATTGTGCAGCTCCAAATTATGGAGCGGCCAATGTGGCAGGTGGAGTACTATGATAGAGTCGACAATGAGTTTGACTTTGATTATTAAATAGTTTGTAGTTACTTTACTAGTTGCAGCCTCACTATTAGCCATAGCATTGACAGTCAACAACCAACCAGTCTACTCAGGTGTGTAATGCTTGTAATGCGTTTTCCTGCTTCTCCCAGCAAAAGCATCAACATTCTCTTCGCCAGCATCGGTTCTCTCCTCATCACTCGCATTGCAAATGCAGTATTGGTACATGTGTTCATCGTGTACGTTTTTGGTATGTATGCCTTTATCAACTGCAGCAAAAGACTTGGTGAGCGTGCTAAACATTTGACAGAGACAAGCCTCTGTACAGGCTAGAGTTCTGGTGGCACCAAGCAACCAGAACTGTGGCATGGTGGGTAGACTCTGTGGTTACTATTGTCTCTTTGAAGCCTACTGTGGCACCAAAAGTTGGCAGCTCACTTTAGAACTAACTCCAAAACTCTGAGAATGTCTTTTCTTCTGCTTACTGATTTACGTCAAAGTCAGGCAGATTGTTGCAGCCCAATCCTCGCACTGTTGACCCTTCCTGAGTTAGGTTTACCAAGCAGCACTGCAGTAGACCATACCGTAGCTAGCTGCTATAACGACTGTCACTTGACTCGTCATGCTCTTCTTTGCTTAAGCCTGGCCCCCGCTGGCTTTCGTAGATCACCTCCCTACATACTCTAATTCGGTGTCAATCACGTAGAAGATCAGTGGCGGTGGGCTTCACCCACAGATGCCCTCAAGGATTGATTAGCATTCGCAATGACATCCAGATTTGGAGCTGTGCTAGAAAGAAAAGTAGTTGAACCAAACTATCATGCCAGAGGAAACAGCCCAGAACCGTGTTAAACCATTTGTGATTGTACCGTAAAAACATGCTTGTTTCATAACTTCCATTCTCATTCTTCGTGTTTCTGGTTTTCCTGACGCGGAATAGTACAGTGTACCGGTTCCGTAGTCACCATGATGATCTGCGGTTTCCACAAACGCACGCCCCAAACCACCCAGGCTAGCAGGATTACAACACTCAAAACGAGCTGCAGCAACAACAATGTCATCAAAAACAGGCATTACAGCGTTGCATCTGAAAGAAGAAAACAGGCAGGCCCTGCGCAAGACTCGACTCTTTAGACAGCCATTCACCACGCTACATCCAACAGCTTTGGAACGAACGACAACGAGTCATCACAACAAACCAAAACTGAATCTATCCCAGGCTTGACTCAGAGAGTGAGTGTCGCCATTGGTTGATTGGTAAGTCAAGGCAGTCTTTCTTGTGTGGTTATCATGCTTGTTTTGAAGCTGAACTTCTCATACCAGGCTTAGTGCACTCTTGTCAGTTGTCCTGTTTTACTTTGGGTGTCTCTTTATTTTCGCACGGTGCTAATTAGGCGTGTGTGAGGACCATGGATACCCAAGGCGACACCAAGAGAGCTCTTAGTAGTCGACGCTACACCCGCAAGAGAAAATCGGAGGATCAGCGTGCAAGTGGTACCAACAACAAGCCCACCAAAAAGAGACCACCTGCCGCCAGCAAAAAGAAGAACCCCGCGGCTGCAGCTGCAGCTTCGGTGAGCCTTACGGATACGAGCACTTCTACCTTTGGTGGCCTAAAGGATTCTGGTAGTAGGGAACGAAAAAGGGAACCATGGGCTGGTCAGCAGCAACAATATATTCGGGAAGATGATCAAAAGCCCCCTCCCAAGAAACGGCTTTGTAGCGGTGGCCATCCTCCAGATGATGATACTACATGTAGTTCCTTCCAACCTATCAATAATGAGGCAGCGAACGGCAGTGACAGCAGTGGCTCCAACAGCTCGACACCCAACATGGACAACAAGTCCACGAAGAAAAAACCATCGCCAATGCAAGCCAACCAGCAGCTAGACGAGTACGCTCTGGCCCGCATTCGTCGAAAGGATGATCGCATGGAACGAGTCCGAGAACGCACCCAGCGCCGTTTTATCCGGGGGATGCTCAAGTCGCAGAAGAAAGAGCTCAAGCGAAAGAATAAAAAGCTCAAGGAAATCAACCAAGATCTCAGCCGGCGTTTGGCGCAGGCTCAAGCCTATCAAAGAAAGCACGAAAAGGAGCTAGAGGAGAAACAGAAAAAGGAGGATGAAGCCAAGAGAAAACGTCAGGAGAAGAAAGACGCCAAGAGGAAGAAGGCTGCTCCACCGCCACCTCCTGCTGCATCCAATGCGACTGTGCCCAACAACAGTAACCAACTCCTTGCGATGCAACAGCTTGTGTCGCAAATTGTGAGCGCGCAAACGTCTGGTGGTGGAGGAGGATTGTTTCCCAACACCAATCCCTTCTTGGCCAACCCCATACCCCAGCAACCACCACAGACGGCCCCCAATCCAATGCTGCTGCCCCAGCTGCTGCAAATGCAACAGCAATTAGCATCTGCTCCACAGCCTGCTCCAGCCGCAGTTCACCCCACTTATAATAATAATGTGGGACACCAGCAGCCAATGCCTCCTCTTGCCAGTTTGATGGCTGCTGCACAAGTGTTAATGCAACAGCAACAGCAACAATCCTTGCCATCGGCACCGGTACAGCAGCAGCAACCCCAAGTCTATCAGCCTGTTCCAAACCAGCAGCAACCTCCAATGATGTTCACAGCATCCAATAATTCCATTGCTGGTCCAGCCACTGCCACCCCTTTTGGCCAAGGGTACATCCCACAATACAACAGCACAAACCTGCAGCCAACACCACAACCGCAACCATTGCAACAGCAACCATTGCAGCAACAACCACCGTCGCTACCCATCAATCGTACTCTCTTTCAAGAGCAGCAACAAGGGACTCCCATGATGGGATCTTGCTTGAATCCAACACCCGCACCAGCCACAAGTCAGTGGGCAGCTGTAGCCATGCCTCCTCCACAACCAGCGGCATATCCTGTGACTGTCCAACAACCAGTACAAACACAGCAGCAACAGCAGCAACAACACCAAGCCGTATTGGACAACTTTCTGCGTCTGTTTCAAAACCAGAATCTTCCACCTGGCAGTGGGAACGTCTAGCTAGCTAGCTAGCTAGCTACTGGCCAGCGTTAGTGGTCCGCCTTTTATCTTCTGTTTTGGACCAAGAACGAAGCATGCTGTGTTACCGATCATGTCCGCAAAAAGTGTACCCAGTGCACCCCGTCTTTTTTAATGGACCGGGAACTACTGTACTGCTATTGCTATAATATTGATGTTAAGGTTACTGATTTGGATTTGGATTGAAGACGTATCAAGACTGTAATTGTGTGTTTCGTTCGTTGAGCATGCATGGTATGGTCACTGATGAGGCAGTCCATTCATTACTCGATCAAAACCCATTTATCAGACGTTTACAGTTGCTATGGTACTCAAAGCTTGCACCTATGCAGAACACAGATTCGATTTCATTCCCCTCAAAACACTCGGGATCAAAGCCACTGCAACCCGAATGTGTTTATTTTTGTCTCAGCATGCCCAAATCTGATGAGCTCCAAAACAACGAACGAATGATATCGAATCTGCAAGAGTTCCTTTGGGTGTCTCTGTCTGTCTATCTATCCACCATTTTATATCTTCAAACTAGCTAGACTACAATCCAAACCACTCCCACCCCTCTCTGATTGCAAAATCTCCATAATCCAGGAGCAGTTCCTCCCCGACTTGGATATCCTTGAGAGCAAAGTAATTCTGTTGGCATCCTCCTTTGTGCTCCAACGCTGCTTGTTCATGACATCCTAAATTGGGCTCTTCGTCTTCTTCCGTCACTGTATTGATGAAGGATCCCGCATCCAGATCGACGCTGACCAACGGTTTGTCGACTTCTGCCGATTGGTCGGAAATGGATTGCACATACGCCCACTGGAGGACATCACACGCAAAGTCTTGTCGTATTTTTGCCAAAAAGGCTCGATACTCACTGCCTTTTTCAAATCGTGCCGTCATGCTGGTGGACCACACCAGTTGTCCCTTTGGGACGGGTGCCGTCGTCACAAACACCCCGCGACCCTTCTCATCACCGGCCGATCGCGCTTGGACGGGAACGGCAAAACCATCTCCATCCTTGTCGGCAATCCTATTGGATCGTTCCAAACCCACCACGGCGGCATACGCATGGCGCATCGATTTCCAATCGGTTTCAGAATGGACCGGTCGTGGCCGGCTAAAGATAAAGGAGCAATCAAAGTAGTGCCACATGTCTCCGACGATCATGTCGTCATACTCGGGATCTTCTTCGTCGTCATACGGTTCTTCTTCATCTTCTTCTTCGCTGACATAGTAGTCGTCACCGTACCGATCTTCGCCATGAACGTTCCAACAGAGGAGTGAAAACAAGACAGCAAACAACAACAACAGCACTCCTGCTCTTCTTCTTTTTCGGCAACTGCAAGTCAACAACACCACCATGGTCTGCTACTGCTACTTGGCATCTATTTGTTCCATGGTGAAACGGGGTGTTCACTTTCTGGGTTTGTGCGTTGAGGGGAGAAAAAGCCTTAACCCTTAGTTTGCACGTGTCGACTCGATTTGTTGAAAAGGTGTGAACTTGAACGCACAATTTCTCTAATTTAATCAATATCCTTCCAGCTCTACTGTCTAGTAGACTGGCTATTTGTTTCGTTTCTCTTCTCTCTCGTCAGATTGTGAGCTCTACAACTGAGCTCCGATATGCATACATATACCAGGATCGATCCTCTGTTTCTCGCAGTTTATCTGCAATAGATCTCGTCGATCTATCTTCCTGAAGTGCATGTTGGCCCTGGAGGGCTTTCCCACTTTACTAAACCTATGGACCTTCTCCGTCCATTCATTTGTTTCATCCCGTCGCTCCTTGCATTCATCTCTTCGACCTAACTTCCTAACCTTTGTAGTTGCATCATCTAGACGACCATTGTCCTCGTTCCTTGTACACCTGGCCATCTGATGATGATCGGATAACCATCTGATTGAGTCACACATCCCCAATCACGAACCGTGATTGTGGATCCCGAGTGTCTGTCCATCATACGAAAATACCTTTCTAACACCCTTCCTGTTTTCGCGATGATGCAGCGACCTTCTTACCAACTCAAACCAATTGCTCCTTGTCTCCTAGTCAGTTTCGGTGCATGTCTGTCGAGGTTCTCGACGTTGACATTCTTGTTCCAATGTCGCTCACGTTTGTCTTCCGAGCGAACGAAAATCAATCTTCACTAGGCCGTCCTGCTGCATTTGGATTCACGTAGTGCCACCTCGTATCCATATGCCTTGTTCGACTTGCACTTGTCTTGTTCTCTGACATAAAGATAGCACCTACGTTATTCGATCTTACTTGCACAGGTAGTTCCACGTTGATCTGTAGGAACTTCAGAATCTGTCGCGATGAACGGGACTTCTCGCACTGCTTCTCCGCCACGCGTAGACTCAGCTTCGGAACTCGACAATGCTACGACCTTCTGTAGCTTGGACCTCCAGTGAATGAGTACACCTTCGAGAAAGATCATCATGGACTGACTGATCTTCTGTTGTCTTGTCTCCGGCCCAATCCAAATCCGAGAATACTTCCAAG